AAGTTCTTTACAGCCATGGGGTATACGGAGTCAGTAGTCAATAGAGTGCTTGCCAGAACAGGACCCAAGGAGGCTTCACAGATCCTGGACCTGGTTCAACAGGAGCAGGATCGTAGTGACCAAGAGCAGGTACTTCATGGTTTTTCTGATATGAGAGGTGAAAATATAAATACCCTGAATGAAAAAGCGAGAAACCGACCCTGCGAGACAGAGCACAAGGAGGATCCAGATGCAGCAGCAGCATCTGCAGAGCGAGATTTGATAATGATTAGCAATAATGGAAAGGTTCGAGAGAACATGGAGGGTGGACTATCAGGAGAACCTGAAGGGGGCAGTCAAGAGAAAAAAGAGAATGGGAACGAGGAAGATTTTGTCCTTGGAGTTGTGAAAAAAGCAGCAGCCAGCTGTGGGTATTCTGAACAGAAAGTAGCTAAGGTCTACGGCATGTTAAACAACGGATCTACTCACAAGCTCCTCCTGGAACTCCAGAGAGAGGAGACCCAAGAGGCCAACAGTTTAAGGGAGGGTCCAAGAGAGACAGATGATGTGGTTCTGGAGAAGAAAAAGGCTGGCTCAGGACAGGACAACGTGGACACAGATTCTGATGATGATGGATGGGTAGAATTCCCAGCATCTGTTCCAGGGCCAGTTTTGTTTCCCAGGATGACAACACCTCAGCAGCTTCCTGTGTCTCAGTTCGTCTCGCAACCAAAGCAACACCAGCTATCAGAGTCTCGTACACCACACCGGAACATTCATTCTGATATCAAAGGTCCGCCAATGACCCTGTATCCGTCTCTAAGCGATGCCCCACCTGCTCCCAACATTCCGACTAAAGCCCACTTTGAGCACACCATCCATGTTCCCAATCTGACCATGCTGAAACAAAAACATTACTCTCAAGATAACGTTGGCAATCACTTGCCTTCAAACTCTCAAAAAAAAGTGCTTCCCAACCCAGACATGATTAGAAACAACTTGTCTCCGACCAGAATGACGCACCAACATGGTTCAACACCTGCCTCTACAGTGGTGGTCACAGGGGAGCAGCGTTTTCTTGAGGGCCTGCAGACACCTTTCGACCTGGAGCTCACAGACAAGCCTGGTGTCCAGAAACTGAGGGCAATCATCATTGACGGCAGCAACGTTGCCATGAGGTAGAAAAAAACATTTTGCCTGGCACAGTGTGTCTTTAGGTGTTACTAACCACAAGAACAGCCATCTAAATATCTGTGTTTCACACTCAGTCACGGACTGGGTCATTTCTTCTCCTGTCGAGGAATCGCTCTGGCTGTGCAACATTTCTGGGACAGAGGCCATCGTGAAATTCAAGTCCTGGTGCCACAGTGGAGACAGAAAAGTGACCCCAGGATCAAGGGTATCTCGTCCTTATTGAAATAATGATTAGAATACGTCAGGCCTTGTAGGGTGTTCGGTTTTGGTACAGAATTTTTTTTTTCTCAGAGAAGCACTTCATGTCTAAACTGTATGACCTCGGCCTACTCTCCTACACACCTTCCAGAGAGGTGCAAGGCAGGAGGATCAGCTGCTACGATGACAGGTATGGTTACACCTTTTGAAAAGTGTTCCAAATCCTTTTATTTAATAACTTTCTGGATTAATCAATAAGCAATAGACTGATAAATTAATTTCTGAATCTTTTCATATTTCGTTTACATGCTTCTCCAGATTCATTTTCTATTAACTTAAATTAAAAGGAAATGTTTTTGGGGGGAAATGGGAAGAGGCAGGTATATGTCAAAGTCAAAGCTTAGAGAAAAATGACACAAATTTTATCCAGTAATTTCAGGACTATTTTTTTAAATGAAAATTCAATATAGTGTCTTAAAATAGCATTTATAGTTTGGTTGTAAACATGTTTGGAGGATGCAGCTCAACCATTCTGTGGATCGCTCTGCACCACAGTAGCTTGAAATAGGATGACCTGGGGAGCTACATGCTTCATCACTAACATAAATCCTAATCCTGTTTCGAAATCCAATTCTGTGCTCGAGTGGATACTGTGTTTATTGAATTCTACTGTTGTACTGTAAACTTTGAGACTGTACTTTGACCTTGAATCTGTCACAGATTCATGCTGCAGCACGCTGAAAAAACCAATGGAGTTATTGTCACGAATGATAACCTGAGGGACCTTATAGATGAGTCTGAGAAATGGACAGATATCATCAAAAAAAGGTTTGCCACAAGCACACTCGCATATCATTCCACACACACAAAACACAGGTTTTCATGTCACAATGCTGCCTTTCAGTCTTCTACAGTACACATTTGTTGGTGACCACTTTATGGTGCCTGATGACCCTCTGGGGCGAGGAGGACCTCACCTGGAGGACTTTCTACGCTCTGAACCTAGGTATTAATGTTTACAAAATACATATGTACAGATGTTTAAAATATTATTTCTAACACCTTTCTTATGGATCAGGATTTCTGAACCAGCAAGAAATACATTAACTGGCGTAGCAACCACAAGCTCTTCCTCTAAACCTCTGCACTCCCAAGCGGAGGTCCCTAATCACTGGACAAGGTTTGGCACTCAGGTGAACAAAGGAGGCAAAGATAAAGGTGGGAGAGGAGGGCATGGAAAAGGCTGGCAGTCCGGAAATCGACAGCTACATAAAGCTGGACCGCAGAGGAATCCAGAGCAGACGTCAAGACTCAGAGAGCAGCTCTGTCAGATTTTTCCAGGTCAGGACAATGAGGTAGCGCTGGTGTTGCAGTGTCACCCGACAGAGACAGACATATGTATGCTGACAGATGAAATCCTAGAGCTGCAGAAGAACTAAGAAAAAAATATGAAATCACCTATTCTGTCTATAATTTTATCTTTGACATTTTATTTAAACGTCCACACTCCTACACCAAACCCCATAGAGAAAAACATAATTTTAGCTAACTTATAGAAACAGAGCTTTTATAACGGTGAAATAACAAAACTACACATTTGCATCTTTCAATAAGCCAGCAGTGGATCATGAACCTCTGGGATCATTGAATCGATTCTTTTTGTCATCAGAGTGAGCATGTTATACAACAGTATAAACTTTCTGTAGCACATTTATATTTAGTTGTTACAAAGCTTCACATTCCTAAAATACCAAAGACTTAAGGTGGTGTCGATCTTATTCAGTAATCTTTACTCAGTTATTAAAAAAGGTGTTTTGCTGTCATGTTGAAGGACTGATTGCACTGTTTGCACTAATGAGCAATCTTTTCCAGATTTTGTGAATCAAAATAAAATCTTTATTTTATGTATTTAACATAGTTAACATCTCTTGACTGAGTTGTTGTCATGGGTCGTTTCGTTCATTTTTTTTAAACTTAATTTATTATAAACTCGCTAACTCTGCCATTCGAGGTTTTGTGCAGTAGGGGGCGAACTTTATCTAGCCTTCTGTGTAGTGGGCAATGCAACAGGCTGTACTAAACGGTTACGTTTTGATTGTTATCGGTTTTTCAATAACTTTGAACTTAAAGGGAGCCCATATTAGCTAACACCCAGAAATACAGTTGAGCAAGTTAGCTCAGTGCCCACAAACATGTTTTTATAGATCTGGTAATAGAAAATAAAAAGTTAGCCAACAATTGCCCTTAATTTATCAAAAGTTTCTGTAAATATCTTACTAATTACTTAAAGTTCTTAAAGAAGAGATTTAAATGCTATAATGGTAATTAACTTTAACTTAATGTGGACCCCCCCCTCCCCAAAAAAAGTTAGCCTTAATTAACAAGGGGAACTTCTAATGTATTTATAAAGTTTAATCCATCTATAAGATAACTTGACGTTGACGAAAACATCTATACGTTCATCAAGTGATTTAAAAAAAAGAACCCAGAATAATTATAACTAATGTAGCTTTAAGTATTTTTCATACTTTGTCATAGAAAGTAATAGTAGTACTAGTAATAATAGTAGTAACTTCATATTAATAATAATAGCTCAGGTGAACCCATATTTGCCACATGGACACAATGACTTGGGTCTGTTTTTCTTCTATGTTTTGTTTGTTACACAAAAACGTTACAGGATATTCTGCATTTGCAGTAATACACAGGTGGAGATGGAGTATGGACTGTATTTTCCAGAGTGGAGGTAAAGATTTCAAGTTCTAAAAATAGATGCGATTAAACCGGTTTGGGACTTGCAAAACAACTAATGTATTAAGAAGTTCCCATGTAACCAGGAGAATATTTTCTTTCTTTTCATACACAGGCGTGTGAAAAAAAAGAAAATAAAACCAGATATTGTACTTTGGCCTGTGTTAAGTGCTTCATTTATGTGCATCTCGGCAGAAAATGAAAGACTAGCAGTGAAGGGAGGAGGCTGAGGGCCTTCGCTATTACCTTTGTCTTGACTATTTGTCTAATCCCGATCTGACGTTTGACAATTTGGCAACTTTTAAAGATTACTTTGGAGTGCAGTGCAAATTGTTCTGAATCTTGGATAAATAGATCCGTGCTCCAAAAAACTGTTCTTAAATGTGAACCTGTATAAAAGGAGCGTCCACCAGAGGCTCAATCTATGCAAACAAGGATTATGTTTTTCCCCCTATTGTGTCAAATCAATGTCCTGTTTCTCACACCAGCTCTCTCAAGTTGTACACCGTACTTTACACGCTGTTCATGAAAAATGTAAACATACACATATTAACCTTTGCATTACTTTAATAACTTTTTATTAAATATAAATAGCAGGGTTTGTTCAAACATGGCACTTTAAAATACATTTAAAACCCAGGGCTCTATGCTCTACACCTCTATATCATTTTGAGGGTCATTGGCCTAGAAATGTTGATTAGTTCATAAAGTTAATGTTAATATAAAAATATTTCTGACGTCTCTGGATAGATGCATGAGTGGAAATCGCTGCTTAACATGGATTACATCACTTCCCCAAAGTAAAAATCTGTAGCCGTACAAGATAAAAAACAAAGTATTATATAAAAATAAATATATATTATATATAGATAAAATAAAATAAATTAAATGTATTTCTCTCTCATTTCTTCTCTGAAACGGAGATTTGGATAGACTGCTAAACGTGAAAATATAGTTTCTATTACTTTTATGAAGTGTACCAACTTTTCTGGTACAATGTGTAACCCGAAGCCCAGTGCTCGCGCTTGTGCTCTCGTGTGCGCGCGCCCGTCTCGCCTCTGACTCTGGCGAACAGACCGAGACAGGTTTTTGTACCGCGTTAACAGGAGGAAAATACTTGCTTTTGTGAAGAACGTGTTTAAAATGACAGAAGAAGACGAAAAACAAAAGAAGAACCCGTTTAGCTTCAACCAATACTAAGGTAGGAACTTAATTTGTCTTCACACGTTTCACATTTGACGTATGAGTGGGGTTTACTGATAAATTGTAATTATATTTAAACCAAACTACATTAACGACTAGGGTAACACTAACTGAATTATTTATCTACTGCTCGACTTTCCCTGTAAAAGATTCCACATTAATGAACAAAATATGATTCTTGTAAAATGTATGCTTTAAACATAAGCTATCCAGTTTCGGTTGTTTTACAGTAAAATGCTAAAGTACAATGCGTCGATTGAACTTTATTTCTTTACGTTATTCAATTATTTCACAGACTTATTAATAGTTGAACACTTAAAAGTAGAAAAGCATTCACTGAGGACCACATTTATCACTACGATTAGAAAATAAGCAAAAACTAATAATAAAAAACATGATAATTTAGTCTTTCATTATTTTCGTTCGACATTCAAAGCTTATGTTGCAATTACTTGATTATTACAACGATTATTAAAATAAAATGTATTAATTGCTTTTAACGAGTTGAGAATTATTGTTTTTTTTAATAATTCCTGATTTATTTGTTGATGTATTTTATTTCAATTGATTTAATTTATTTGACACAATTCCAGTCAAAAATTCAAACATTTACAACAGTGTTGAATGAGTACAGCTCCTTAGGACAGTGGGGCTCTGTGCTATTGTTATCCCATCAACAGCTGATGATCAAACAGAACCATTGGAGTCTAATGTTTGCAAGCAGTAAGCAAGGATTGCTGCATACTTTCCCTCCAAAGCAAGTGAAGTGATAAGAATATACACAGACCCTGTTACATTCTCCAAGAATTGCAAAATGAATATTGTTGTAATATTTGAACATACTTTCCTAAGAAAACAAATCAGTGAGAACTTTGGTTTTATGTGGAAGTTCAGTTTAGAGGAGTCCATTTTAGGAAGCCCCTCTTCTCCCATCTAATTCTTAATAATTTTGTAAAGTGAAGTGAAACCAACACACAACACACACACACACACACACAGTAGTGCAGGAGCAACATTTGCACAAGGAAGACGAATCGGTGTACTGACATTTCCCTCTCCCACACACACACAGAACTAAACACAGTGCCTCCTTTGTAAAAGTGTATAAAAGAAACCAAACAGCTTTTTTAACCTAAAAGGCCTGAGCTGGTCAGCCCAGGTGAACATGTGGATCAGATTAAATCATGATAAAATAAAATAAATTAAATGTATTTCTCTCTCATTTCTTCTCTGAAACGGAGATTTGGATAGACTGCTAAACGTGAAAATATAGTTTCTATTACTTTTATGAAGTGTACCAACTTTTCTGGTACAATGTGTAACCCGAAGCCCAGTGCTCGCGCTTGTGCTCTCGTGTGCGCGCGCCCGTCTCGCCTCTGACTCTGGCGAACAGACCGAGACAGGTTTTTGTACCGCGTTAACAGGAGGAAAATACTTGATTTTGTGAAGAACGTGTTTAAAATGACAGAAGAAGACGAAAAACAAAAGAAGAACCCGTTTAGCTTCAACCAATACTAAGGTAGGAACTTAATTTGTCTTCACACGTTTCACATTTGACGTATGAGTGGGGTTTACTGATAAATTGTAATTATATTTAAACCAAACTACATTAACGACTAGGGTAACACTAACTGAATTATTTATCTACTGCTCGACTTTCCCTGTAAAAGATTCCACATTAATGAACAAAATATGATTCTTGTAAAATGTATGCTTTAAACATAAGCTATCCAGTTTCGGTTGTTTTACAGTAAAATGCTAAAGTACAATGCGTCGATTGAACTTTATTTCTTTACGTTATTCAATTATTTCACAGACTTATTAATAGTTGAACACTTAAAAGTAGAAAAGCATTCACTGAGGACCACATTTATCACTACGATTAGAAAATAAGCAAAAACTAATAATAAAAAACATGATAATTTAGTCTTTCATTATTTTCGTTCGACATTCAAAGCTTATGTTGCAATTACTTGATTATTACAACGATTATTAAAATAAAATGTATTAATTGCTTTTAACGAGTTGAGAATTATTGTTTTTTTAATAATTCCTGATTTATTTGTTGATGTATTTTATTTCAATTGATTTAATTTATTTGACACAATTCCAGTCAAAAATTCAAACATTTACAACAGTGTTGAATGAGTACAGCTCCTTAGGACAGTGGGGCTCTGTGCTATTGTTATCCCGTCAACAGCTGATGATCAAACAGAACCATTGGAGTCTAATGTTTGCAAGCAGTAAGCAAGGATTGCTGCATACTTTCCCTCCAAAGCAAGTGAAGTGATAAGAATATACACAGACCCTGTTACATTCTCCAAGAATTGCAAAATGAATATTGTTGTAATATTTGAACATACTTTCCTAAGAAAACAAATCAGTGAGAACTTTGGTTTTATGTGGAAGTTCAGTTTAGAGGAGTCCATTTTAGGAAGCCCCTCTTCTCCCATCTAATTCTTAATAATTTTGTAAAGTGAAGTGAAACCAACACACAACACACACACACACACACACAGTAGTGCAGGAGCAACATTTGCACAAGGAAGACGAATCGGTGTACTGACATTTCCCTCTCCCACACACACACAGAACTAAACACAGTGCCTCCTTTGTAAAAGTGTATAAAAGAAACCAAACAGCTTTTTTAACCTAAAAGGCCTGAGCTGGTCAGCCCAGGTGAACATGTGGATCAGATTAAATCATCCAAAAATGTTAGCCAGCAAATAAGATACATTTAGAATGTAAATATTTAAATGTAATTGTAAGATAAATCATTTATTAGATGTGAAACAAAAATTCCACACAAATTTCTCACTGATTTGTGGCTCATTGTAAGGAGAACACCCCCACCCTTTAAAAAAGAAAGACTGGAAGTAATGTATCAGTTACTATAAAAATGTAGCATTGTGCAGTTTGCTGGGATTTTCTGGCTTTTGGATCACTGGACACTGTGTTTAGAGAACGTAACATTCTCCAGGCCTGACAATAATACAGGCTGAACAACAACAGAGAGAATATTCTGGTAGGGTGGTCCAACAAATAGAAATTATTTCGACCTGAATCTCTTATAAACCTTAATAAGACCTGCTGTAGGAAATGTCTCAAGATCCCACAGATAAACCACAGATGATGTGTATGAATTGTGTTCTACCATGTCATTTTTAACTGTCATGTTATTCCTTTTTTTTTTTTTTTTTTCAAAAAGTGAATAATAATCAAACGTAAACATCCAGTTGTTGGCATTATAACCCATTTTGCAAATAACCAAATTCATTCACAGGAGAACAGGCAAATAGTTTGAACCTTGATGTAGACTCCAACATTGTTGACCAGTGTCAATTCTCATCTACCATTCTCAGTGTTGCTATATTTCTGTAAACTTGCATTCAGATAGAATAGCTTCAGGGAAGAGTGCAACGGGCCTTTTAAAAAAGGTAAAGGTAAATACTAAAATTGTCATTGGTGGTGGTAGTCATGTAATTATTTAAAAGACTGTTACAAACAAGGCTATTATCTCCTAACACAGAGTCTGATGAATTTCATGTCTCTTGGGTGCGTCTGTGACATCTCATTCCAGGACAGTGTGTTATGTGTGTGTGTGTGTGTGTGTGTGTGTGTGCACATGAGTGTGTGACACAGGGTGGAAGCTGCACCTACATTAACAAGTTGTGAAGCATGTTAGGGAAGTGACAAGTAAATGACTGTCATTCAAATGGAATGGAAATCGTGCACATCAACTACCTTGCTCAAAACATTGTTGTTTAAAGATTTCAAGCCTTCTTAAACCTTTACACCTTCCTCACTCGCCCACAGTTGATAAGAACAAAGCCTATACATCAGATTTAGCAAGAGTTGTTAATCTATTTTTTTCTAATTGAATATTTGTTTTCACAGCAGGGCTCCGCTTTCACACTACAGATGAGAAAAGAGATAACGAAGCAGTCTACACATCAGCCATCTTTGTCTGCATCTTGAACTTCAAGTCTTCCTAAAAACCCACGGTCCTCTACCACCATGTAGACGACAAAAGCCAGGAAAAGAAAGACAACAGCTTGACACAGTTCATGATGCCAGAAGGTGATCAGGATCAGACGGGGGTTGAGGAAGAAGGAGAGAACGCTAAATCACTCGTGCCAGATGTGGCTATTTCCTGCAGTAGTGGGCAAAATATGCCAGCAGTTGAACTTGAAGATTTCAGTCAAACATCAGATGCTATCCAAGAGTTCATGAATAACAGTAACATTGTTTTTGAGAACAGTCCAGGATTTAATGAACCCAAAGAGTCCGGATTAGTTGAAACCGCAAAAGTCCCTGAACCTTTGACCTTGAAAGGTTTGGACCTCGACACCCATGATGTCTTAGACAGTGGCGCTTTCATTTTTAACACCAACCTTTGCAGTGATGCCTTATCTGAAGACGACAGTAGCTCACTTGAAAAGACTAATCATGTCAATTTCTCAGAACTTGAATCAGACTCTACCATGGATTTGCATATTTCAGATGGAAATCAGGAAAATCCGCTTGAAGAAAATGCAAAAAGCCCAAACTGTGGCAGTTCACCCACATTGGCAGATGGCTCACCTGCAGTTTACCAAGTGAGGGACAGCATTGACGTTAGGTGGGACGACTCAGATAATGACGACGACCAACGTAGTATCTTGTCCAGGCAGAGTATGAAGGATGGCATGTGCTGCTGCTACCAGACCTTTCACAGGGCGTGTCTACGATGTGTGGAGGAGACGCCGGCCATGCTGTCTGGACTAGTGTTGTCTATAGTCTTCTGTGTGGTCATCATCATCCTCATTCCAACCACTGGACGGGTAAGACCCAGAGAGTACATCATACGTCCGTCGGTCATCTGTCATAGCTGACAGACGTTCCCGTAACATTTGTGGATTTTATTTATAGTAGTTTTATATTATATAGATGTTTTTATTATTGTATGATATTATGTTTTTATATTCATTAAAAACATTTTGTGCATCCTAGGAGTGTAAAGTCAACACATTAGGCCTACAACATGGCCTGGTGGTCTGTGATGCCTGCAAATTTAGTTTTTGTTTTTTTTAATGATAAAGGGCAGATACTTTAGAAAAAAAATAATGGATATACAAAGACGATTAGCAACATCTGAGAGTAGAAGGGCTGCAAACAAAGGAAGAGTTTTTTTTAAAAAGGGCCAACTCTTGACTGACATTTTAACAGCTGGGATTTTTACACCAAACCTGTTTCAACAAACACTGTGGCATGTTGAACACTGGTGAAAACAGGACAGGGGAACCCCTACATCTATGTAGGTCATCTGACCACATCTGCTGGAGCCTAAAAATTTACAAATATATATCCCAACATATTTAGATGGAGCTCATTATTGTATGTCCGACCTTCTCTTTTGCAGGATGCCAAAACTCATGTTGGTGCTTTGGCAGTCGTGTGCGTGGTCCTCTGTCTTAGCACACTCTTGCTTGTGTGTTTGCCTTGGCTCGCCACCGTGCGGCGCTGTGGAGGCGCCCTGGCCCTCTTTGTCTGGGGAACGCTGTACACCGTAGCTGTTGTGTTCATCTTCACTGGAGGCCCTGTCACTGCATGGGAACAGGTGAGAAAGAAGCCAAAATGGTCAAAAACCATAATCGGATATTCACTGGATTTTCTTACAAACGCCAGTCGTCTCGAATGGCTTGGCTGAGGGAGTTCAGACATTTCTGTTTCATACATTTTCCTACTTACAGGTGGCGTTTTTCCTCTTCCTGACTCTCAGTGTCTACACAGTGCTCCCTCTTTCTCTGACCTGGGCGCTCATAGTTGGAATCTGGACCAGTGTTTCACACATTATCATCATCAGTGTGTATGTTGCCACCACAAGCCCAAACACACCAGACTTGGCTGTGCAGGTGAAGTAATAAATTTACCACTTCAATTTCCGAGCCTTGCGTTGTTGCCATGTTAGTCCAATGACGTCTCACAGAAGGAATTGACTGGTTGAAATGTAGGAGTGAAATGGTAGTTGCTAAAGCAGACACGATATGACAATATTTTATTTTATATTTGTGTGACGTTTTGCAACATTAATATTTAATGGATTTTTTTTAAATTACCTGTTATATACATTGTTTGATAAAAACTTTAAATTTAGACTAGAATAAATACATATATGTTTTAATAATATTTATATAATATTTTTTTATTTGAATTGGAGTAGGAATTGTGGAGGGAAGATGTGAAGGGTGTCTGTTCAATGAATCCCTCTGTAGGCTGAAAACCTTTATTTACATTTTGACATGTGACATCCTTTTGTTCCTAAGACATTGCCTTGTCCATATCTCTATAGATATCCAACATATTTTTTTTTTCACATTGAAATCTGATGTGTTTTCAACACATCAGTGTTCCTTTAAATTTTTTGAACAGTGTACTTGAAATTTTAGCCAATGTGCCTCCAGCCCCCCACAGATGAGTGAATGTTACAAATGCAAACAAAGGATGTGCAGCAAAATTTGAAATACAGCATCTAGAGATATGTGGATGCATTTGCTCACAATGAAAGAACACATTTGAATATTGTGTGAAGCTCAGTATGTATCTTCTCAAATAGGGCTTCATGTTTTGAATATGAATTTGCATTAGATGGTTGTGTGTTTTTTTGTTCATGTTTTAGGTTGTTATAATAATTACATCCTTACAGACATGACATTAAACATATGAATCAATTTTTTTCAGCTGGTTGCAAACGCAGTGCTGTTTCTATGTGTGAACTGCATTGGGATTTTCCACCTGTGGACAACGGAGCACGATCTCAGGCTATCCAATCAGAAAAGAGAGGAGTTCAGCGCCATTCGCTCCCAGAAGGAAATTAAGAAATATCAGCAGGTTATACATCACATACAATACTACTCTCATTCTTTTGACAAAGACAGATAACAGACACTGTGTGAAAACTGTTGAGTGTAATCTGTTTCATTTTAGGACTCTTTAGTTTGACAGCTTGGTCTTGTTTGCCGTATCTCGTTCTGTCTATCAGTTCAACAGTTTAATCATTCACTCATCTGAAGCTCAGCAGCAATAGGATGGGTAAACAAACCCAAACAAGGACTTATTCGCCTCAAGCAAACAAATAGATGAAATGAGATTTGCTGAGCAAATACACTTGGCTTGTGAAGGCCATTTTCGATTGCCGTCTTTTTTTTTTTTTTCTTTTACAGCCTCACAAATAGATTGTCACCTGTGTTAGTGACAGCGTACCATCAAACCTTCTAATAACGCCTTCCTCCTATTTGTTTCCTCGGTGACAGGAGCAGCTCCTCTTGTCGGTGTTGCCACGCTACATCGCCATGGAGCTAAAGACGGAGGTAATAAAGAGGCTGACCAAGCCCAAGAGTGAAAAGGAAAACGAATCCAAACTCAACAACTTTCACAGCCTCTACATACGGCAGCACAAAGACGTCAGGTGATGATTGACGTCCCAGTCGCCCAACACACACTTGACCTTTTGCTTCTCATACAAAAGCTAAAATTTGAAAAAAATAGCAATAGATTTGGCAAAAGACAACCAAAGTTTTAGTTCTATTGTCAAATAGAAGTAAAGTTGGTCTGTTTGAAGGACTAAAAGTCAGCATTTAAATAATGCAAAATAAATAAATCTATACTAGCTAGTTTCTATAACATATTTTCACACAGCACTTTCTCCTCATCCTTTATCTTTATCTGTCTTTGTGCAGTATTCTCTATGCAGACATTGTTGGCTTCACTAAGTTGGCAAGTACCTGCACTCCAGAAGAGTTGGTTGCTGTGCTCAACAAGCTCTTTGGCCGATTTGATGACATAGCCAAGGTAAAAAAAACAAAAAACATTCACCACCCACCAGCTGCAGATATAAAATAAAAGCTGACTTTCACATTAAATACAGTTGTGTTGCTACGGTCTGACTTTTCTCCTCTGTCTTCAGAAAAATGGATGTCTTCGCATCAAAATCCTCGGTGACTGCTACTATTGTGTGTCCGGTCTCCCTGATCCCATCCCGACTCATGCAAAGAACTGTGTACAGATGGGCCTGGACATGTGCAGGGCTATCAGGTCAGTTCCTCTGAAGTATGATCTCAATCTAGTCCACTGCCTCTGCCATGTGTTTTGTCACGTAGACCTGATAACTATGCTAATCGCAAACAGATTTAGCTGAGGTGCTATTCTGTGAAGTATAACTGAGATACCAGGCTTTAGGAATCCAAAAATATTATTAAAAGCATATTCTTCAATTTTATTTCAACCCTAAGTATAATAAACACAGACGCATCCACATACGGGACAAATAACTTATTGCTTTGGGCAACTACATGTAGCCAATGTAAGCTAGACCTGCAAACACTACTATGGTTCTGGTCAGTACGTGCAGCTTCTTGTAATGCCTTGTGATCACTGAGACAAATCGTTTCTGTGAAAAATCAATCCAGTTTTATCCTTCTATCTTTTTGCAGTAAACTGCGAGAGGCAACAAGTGTTGACATCAACATGCGTGTGGGCGTTCACACTGGCTATGTGCTCTGTGGTGTGATTGGCCTGCAGAAGTGGCAGTATGACGTTTGGTCACATGATGTGACATTGGCCAACCACATGGAGTCTGGAGGTCTGGCTGGGTGAGTATTGAAGGTAGTCGTTTAAATCAGTCATCATTTGTAGAATTGTATGTTTTTTTAAAACAACTTAATATGGTTGTCAGACGGGTCCACATCACGGAGGAAACACTGCATCATTTGAATGAAGCGTACCAAGTGGAGGATGGGAATGGGGGAAGTCGAGATCCTCTTCTTCAGGGAAGAGAAACCTACTTAGTAATCGATCCTCGTGAAACAGAACGCATTTCAAGGAGGCCTAAAGTGGTCAGTGTGAGAGACAGTTATTAATCATCACTTTGATTCCCTTAATTACAGTGGGACTATAGTTCTAGTCAGTTTTTTTTAGGTCAAAGTCACTTCAAGTCAAATATTTTGCCTTAATGAAATTTCCAGTTTTTAAGTTAAAATTCAGATTAGGATTATCCTCCTAAAACTCCTACACTAAATCCACTAATGTATGCACAGTCAACATTATATTGAATTATAATGAATAATACAAACTGGAACTTAATATCAAAATGATTTAAAACCAAATTAGAACCAAATGAGAGAATGAAAGGGAAAATGTGACATAACAATAATATATTGAAGAGTGTGAGACTGATGTCTGCCGTAAGCATGTTTTGGTGTCAACAGACTCATATCCAGAGATAAAATGATTGGTAACACCATGCTTAAAAATTTTGGACAAGTTTTGGACAAGACTGACCATTTCCCAGAAATAATACATTTCCCTGATTCCAGGTGAACAGTCTTGTATCAGGTGAGAGCAGGCAGCGCGTGTCAGTGAGGATGTCTCAGTACATGCAGTCCTGGCGGACCATTCACCCCTTTGCTGACCTCAGCAACCCTGACAGCAATGGCCCAATGAAGAGAAACTTCCCATGCAATCTTGTTTCCAGCAAGTTGCAGCAAACTGGAGTATGTATTTGTTGCAATGTCTTTCCCAACATGTGAATATATTTGTATTATTGTACATGATTATTCAGATGAGTGTGTCAAAACCAAGTTTATTTTTCTGCTACAGGACAGACCTCCAAACCACAACAACCCTGGATGGTAAGTTTCACCAAACACTCCCTTTAGTATGATGTCATTTTTTAACACAAAAATCACAATCATTTTTTATGTGAATTTGACTCTCACACGTTTTTGTGTTCTCTTAGTCTGGTTGTGGACAGTCGTGTCAGGGCATCACTGGAAACAGTGGACATTGCATGGTTGGTTTTCATATTAGTTTTCTTTCATCAGTTGCTCGCACATTGTCACCTTTAGACCAGGAATTGCCTGTTTTTACAGCAAATTCAGGATGCTGTTAAACAGGTAATGTTAAGAAGAACTAAAGAGAGAGAGAGAGCGTAATCCCTTAGTTACGCTGCTGTAACTTCACTGGTTTCTCTAGCGGTCTAGGCCTGTAGCATAGTAATTAGAGATAGTCAAGGTTTACCTCAACCAGAATATATACAAACATTAGTTGAGAGGAAGGTTTCAAGAACTAACTTACCATTCTCTGTAAAATAGTTGGTCCTTCTACTTCCTTCAAGTATGTATGAAGCAGAATTGTGTTTTTACTGGAGGTTCTTACTCCTCATACTCCACCCTTTTTATATTGTTTTTTAATCCTCACCCTTTTTTCAGGCGCAGAGCTAAAAAGCTCAACTGTTTGACACTTCTGTTTAATGACCTTAGTCTGGAAAAACAGGTAAGTTCGTCCTCTCAAATTTGATCAGTTTCAGCTTCATTACATGGTAACAATCATAGGTGTGTTTTTGTTTTTTCCAGTTCAGAGTTTCAGAGGTGAAGGGCTTGCACAAGTCAATAATCTGCATCTCCATGATCTTCATCACTCTCTTCACCGTCCAGATGCTGGTCTCTGAAAAGTAGGTCACATCATGGACATATAAAGTCCAATCATTGGTCCTTTTTTTCTAGTGGTGAATAAACTTGGAGAATGCAAACTTTGTCAAATAAAATGTAATATAATTTACAAATTTATATAATTAATAGTATAAATTTGATTAAGGTAGAATCTTTGGCATTAACTGCCATGGTTTTTATGTAAATGGAAAAAGAATTGAGAAAAAAAAGTATATGTTTCATTATTTGTCTTTGTTTTCAGGAACTTTGAGATGGCAGTTTCTTATGGTGCAACCTTCCCTGTTCTCATCCTGCTTCTGTCCATGTCCTTCACAGGGTATTTGGAGGTAAACCAACACAGATGTTGTCTCTCTGAATAAAACAATGTCAGTAGGTTGCATTGCCTTGTACATGAGTCTTTCATGATTCCTTAACTATAACCATGTTGGTGGCTTAAAATTGCTGTTTGCAGTGTGTCTACTCCAGCTGATAGCGTTGTTGGTTAAAGTGATGTTGTGTGTTTTTTATTTATGTTTTTGTTTTTTAGAAATGGCGCTCCAAGATACCAGCTGGAGTTCAGTGGATATCAGGACTTAACCATAGGCTAGCCACCAAGGTGGTGCTGCGTCTGTTTGTGGTCCTTCTCTGTGTGCTTATTACCCTGCTCATGGCCATCCTTAACTTTGTAGGTTCCACTTTTATTAATTTACGACATTTGTCAATCTATCACTTTAAAGGTTTACAGATATGATGTGTCCAGTCAGCCATACAACCACATCATCTATCCATCCATCCATCTAACCCCAACACAGACAATATTACATCAGTTCATACTTTTGTACAACGAGTCACACAAAACAAAAGTCCATTCTGACTTAATCAGAAGTACTTTACTGAACACCTGGGGTAACTGTTAAACAGCTGCTCTTTCAAAACACATTTTAGAAGAGCAGGGGGTCAATACCAAAGTGCAGGATTTAAAACTTTAAATCAAATATTTCACCGTACATTAGAAAACTTCAAAACATATTGACAAGTATTTGCCCAGTAACCAGAACATTGCATAAAATAATTGGAGCAATGTAATAACATGAACCAAAATAAACTGTAGTAATAAAAACAGTGCACAAATATTGACCAAATGTTGCAAAGACTGGTAAAATAGATGTCACAGAATTTTTATCTGTGAACTTAGGCAGACAACCAAAATCAATCTATTCAGAAACAGACTGAATAGTCACATATCTGTTCTTTTTTTTATGTCCTTTTTTTTAGTTCTTTCTACCAGGAAATAACTGCACTGCTGTCACCAACAGTTCTGAGATGGAGGGTCTCAAACTCTACACTGTGCCTGTGAGTGCAACAATAAACAATAAAATATGCATTGAATAAATAAATAAATAGTGAATAAAAAAAATCACTCACTTTGTCTCTCTCCATACTTCAATATTACCTGTACTGCTGCCTGCTAGCAATGCTGGGTGTGATCGTGTTCGTCAAGATATGTTTGTCAATTAAAGCTCTGCTGTTAACTCTGGCCGTGGTGGTTTACCTCGCACTCTTCCTTGAAGTTTACGCTTCACGGTCCTTCTGCCTCGTTGACCTTCTCTACAACGACACAATGTGAGTGACATCAACGTGTCGGCTGCACTTGTTCACCTGGGGTCAAGGTCAAACCACTTGTTCTGAATCATAGGGTGTACAAAGTGTCAAATGTCAAAAATCTACATGACAGAGCTGTTGAAAGTGTTTGTTTTTTTTCTCAGGCCAGGCGTACTGAAAGATCCTCACATCATGTCTGGGGTTTGGCTGGTCATCTTTTTCATCATATGCCTCATACTGGCCAGACAGGTAGGTTTCATTATTTTCCAGTTGTTTATAAATATAATTTTCTCAGGTTTCTAAGACCCAATGTTAAAAATTTAGTGAAACTTTAAGGCATCTATTCATACCTCAGCATAAGAGAACTACACCTTCTTGTTACAGAAATGCCACAACTCCCTAATGTTAAAATCTATCCTTGTCCTTGTTTCCTATAATTTTAGGATGAGCTAAGTTGCCGTGTGGACTTCCTATTGGATCACTGTTTCCAAGCAGAGCGTGAGGAGATGGAGACCATGGAGAATGTCAACAAACTGCTCTTGCAGAATGTCCTGCCACTCCACGTCGCCTCCTTCTTCATGGGCAAAACTATCCGCAACCAGGTGAAAGCAGTCGCTCACAGCTGATGGACTGTACTGTTGTGAAGGGATTATTGTCATTTAAATGGAAATTATAAGAAAAGACTAATTTTGAACAAAGCCATTTTCAGTGCTATACAGTAATATATTGTATTTTTATGAATATACCATTATAACATGTCACGTTGTAGCTGTAAAATCACACAGAAGTTCTAAGCCGACACATGTTTCTCTTCCTGATCACTCAACCAGGACCAGTTCCAATTTTTTTTGTCTTGGAAAATTTGTCTGACGCAAATGATCTCCTCCAAATTATTACTGATGGTGAAGCACTTCTTAAAGTTGTCATTGGTTTGATTGTTTAAAGTCATGAGTCACTCTCAGGATTATTCATTCAAGAAGCCAAGCAGGTTTGAGCTGTTGGCTTTTTGCTCCTTCAGAACTATCCAGAAGATGCACAACTTTCTGAGCCAAGTCTTTTTACGTTCAAATGTCTTTTCTTCTCAGGACCTGTACAGCCAGTCCTACGACTGTGTGTGCGTAATGTTTGCCTCAGTTCCCCAATTTAAAGAGTTCTACAGTGAGAGCAGTGCCAACAGAGATGGGCTGGAGTGTCTGCGCTTCCTCAATGAGATTATCGCCGACTTTGATGAAGTATGAGGAGAGATATGTCTTTTTATCAGTGTCCTCAGGATGTAAAATTATTATCCTTTACAAGATAGACAATATTTAGATATGTCTTCCTGTTATATAGCAAAACATTTCTTACAATAAGCCGAGGCTAACTGAGGCTAACATTTAACTATTTAACAGGTTTAAAATGGTCCAAAGAGAGTGACATTAGTGACATTGTTAAGTAGCCCTGTGTTTATTTTTTTAAACCAAAACACCTATTTTCAAAGTTAGCCCTTGTAAAAAGGTAGGTTTTCCACACAGACTTTGATTTGTCTTCAATTTTCCTGTATTGTCTGTTTCTCAGCTGCTCTCAAAACCCAAATTCTCTTCAGTGGAGAAAATCAAAACAATCGGCAGCACGTACATGGCAGCTGCAGGACTGACGCACTCACCACCAGGGGATGAAAGAAAGGTAAAGAAAAAACCTCCCCTTATCACAAATCTCTTTTACTTTTGGTTCTAAAATATTGGTTCCATATCCTGCTTCAGTCAAATCTGTCAAAAGAACGCTGCTCTAATGAATGTTATTGGTTAACATGATCTCTGGCTCCCCCTGCAGAAACAAGAGATGTCCTACAGTCACGTGAGAGCCATGGTGGAGTTTGCATTCGCTCTCATGGCTAAACTGGAGCTCATCAACACACATTCCTTCAACAGCTTCAAACTCAGGATTGGTAAATTTGTTTTACTTGGAATAATGTTAGAATAATTTCTCTTTCACACAGAATGAAATATCAAATATTCAGAAAAACATCTGAATATTCTTAAAACATAAGTAGTTTGATGCAAGAAACCCTAAATGCCAAATATTTGATACAAAAATCAAGTTGCAGCAAAGGCTGAAAGGCTTTTGTGTGTTCGGTTACATAAGAGATCCATCTAAAAATAAAATTAAAACAATTTTTTTTTAAAAATCTTATAAATGTTAAAAGTTAAGTTAAGAATAAGATCATTCTAAATAATATTTAGGTGATTCTCTCAGCAAAGTCTGCTGTGCATGTGCTGTGTATTCCCAGATGAGAAAGGCATTTCTATGTTGATTTTCACAGGTATAAACCATGGACCGGTGATTGCTGGAGTTATTGGAGCTCATAAACCTCAGTATGACATCTGGGGCAACACTGTTAATGTGGCCAGTAGAATGGACAGCACGGGAGTGTTGGACAAGATCCAGGTGTGAGACCACGAAAAGAAAGTGCTGAAAAATAATCAAAAATTAAATCTTCATTCAATCTCTTTTTTCTTTGCTGTCAGGTGACAGAGGAAACTACACATATGGTGGAGAACGTTGGCTACACCGTCACTCTGAGGGGTGTCGTTAACGTGAAGGGCAAAGGCCAACTTACCACCTATTTTGTGGACACGGACCAGTGCATCCGTCGGCTCGGTTCAGATTTCCAGGGATCAAACATCACGCAGACCTAAAGTTAACTCTCACCACATAACATTAGCAAAAGCCCTTGGTAGTTGCTACGTTGCATTGATAAATTTGGGTTAATGTGGTGGCAACTGAGTGCAAAAACCTGATTAGGCAGTGGTTTGCATGAATTGCTTAATGTTTTGCCAAATGACTCATTGTCATAACTGAGATGTGGCTACAGCTACCAAGAAGCTGCCTCTCTCTGTGGGGTTGAGGCATTAAATAACATCCTAACCAGAAAAAAGAGAAAATAACCATGCACAATTTTCACAAAAAAACAACTAATTTTAAATAATTCTATATCTTCATACACACAGACAGACATTCCTCCTCGTGTTCTTTTCAAAAATAACTTTTTTCCAAACTTCTGGTATGGGCTGTGTCAAAGCCGTGTGCCACAGATGCAGATGTCAGTAAATGTTATGCACCACCTGTGATGAGCCGTTTCAGCAGTTGTCAGAAAGTGAAACTGCAGCACATTTCGAATCACAAAAAGGACTTTAGTGTTGCATTAGTCCAACCAGAAAAGCTGATACTTGCTAACTTCAGGGGAAAAAACATATTTTATTAGCTGTGCCTAGAGCTCCCTCTGCTGGACCAGAGGGTAACTAATTTACAGCTACGGGTGGAGACGGATTGTTTTTAACCCCTTTCATTCTAGTTAATGTTAAAATGTTGCAACAAAAAAAAATGCACAGAACCCAGTTGACCTTTGGTACAGTGTCCTGTGGTCACCAGGTCATTGTTTCTGTGGTCCAGCTGATCATATTCTGGAACAATCTGGGCAAGCCAAACTTGGACTGAGCTTTTTGCAGTAATACTGATATGGTTCTGTCTACCACAGAGTTGCCTTTGTCTTTGAGTTGAGACAAGAAATAAAAGTCCAACAGTGTGAATGAAGACACTAAAAGCTGAACTGGCAATAGACGGACACTTCTACACATGGAGCGTTAAGCTGTTTCTGTACTGTAGCTACTTCACATACTGTGTGTCACACTCTCCTTGAGTTTTAAAAGCATTATGACCTGAAGGAATAGCAATTCACCACCTGAACATTAACTTTTATACACGTATTTTTGTAACTGTGGAGAGAATAAGGAAGGATTTTATTTGTTTTAAAATCAGCAAATGTTATTGTTGCCACAGCTCTTGTAAGCTAAAGTATCACTAAAAAGCCTAAGCATGTTAACAAATACAACTTTTGTGTAGGTTGTCTAACTACATTTGTATTGCACTACTAAAATTGCCATGTTTATATAAATTAGGATTAATTGAGAAGAGATAACGCTTAACTACAACATATTACAGAAGCAGCAGGACATTTGTTACCATATGTGTTCAACAGGAAAAACAGGCGTAAAGTAACAATGTACACAGTATATGGTCTACATAAGGTAAAGAGATGGAACCTACAGCCTTTTTCCCATCCTTACAGGACTACTTATAAACTGTTTTCAAAAAGAGAGTATCTTGCTAAACCATGGGCCATTGGCAAAAAGAATGTTGGGTATGTAGCTAATTTGACTTTGTGTTGCAATTTTGGTACACAATTCCATGATTTAAGAAACATAATTAACTAAGATGCTAGAAGTCTGTAGCTATTATTAGAAAGTTGAATAGCTTAACCATGTCCTTAATAAAGCAGTGTCATTATAGTGTCTAAATCAATTGACATTTAAAATAGTTAAATGCACATTTACATTTGCACTTTTAAATGTTTTGTGTATTTTTATGTATGTATTTTTTGTATTTTTTCTTAAACTAACCAAATACGTTTTCGTGGATCTCCCCTTCTGTCTTATAAACTATATGCTATATATGTATATATATGTATTAGGGAATGTAAAATGTGAATATTTGAAAAATATGAATTATGGGAAATATTTTTATTTAATTTATGAACTAATTAAATTTAAGTATTCCACTTACGTTGTTTATTAACTGATTTGTTTGCGTGCACCAGCTTCCTCCTATTTGCATATTTAAAGAAGCCTGTCAACGCTCTGGAATTTCCCCATGTACCGGAAACACCCATGCACCGTTTCATTGGCTGAGTCCCCTGTCCGCTCAACTTTCCTCACTTCCTATTGGCTGTGGTCGCTGTCGGTCACTACGCTTCCTGCTTTGCAGGGCAGCTCGGTGCGGTGTGTTGTTTTAAATGAAACGGGGAAATGTTTACGCTCTGTGCGGGTAAGTGTACTTAACTAACGGCCCAGTTCGTTCGTCAAAAAGTTAGTGAATTGTTTGGTTAGAACGTCGAATTTGTGGAGAGTTATTTCGTGGTGTTTCCGCTGTTTTGTTTTTGTGGAACTCGAACGAAGAAAGTTTTAATGCGAGCATTACTTCATTGTTGTTACCTGGCGTAACCGTCACTGCAGGTGAATTGACAAAGTTCGGCCATTTTGATCAATTTCGTATTTTTTTATTTTGGCAGGAGATAGAAAACAATAACATGAAGATGTGAACAGATACCATTACATAGAGAAATCTCGTTAAGAAAATGATGTCAGGGGCTAATAACGACCAAGGAAGGAAGCGCCGCCCCCCCAGAGTTTTCGCGATCTCTACGGATCTGAGGGTCCAAGATCAGGTGGAAGGTTCCATCCGGTTGCTGCGGGGGTTTTTGTGCCAAGAGCAGGATGTGAGCAGGACCAAAGGCGACTGGGTTTGGGTGAAGGTATGAAGTTCAACTGTTTAAAAATAAATAAAGTCCTGAGATATTACAAGTAAGACAAAGAAAAAAACGCAGTTTTGTTTTGATTTTTGCTGCAAAGTCATTTAATGTAATGCATAGAATAAAAATATAAGGCCATTGGTTAGGTCCAGAAAGTAGACCGGATGTGCTGCACTGTTTTGGGGAGAAACAAAATTAGTTGACATGTATGTGACAATTGTACCACGGTTTATTTGATAAATAACATTATAAGTTTGTCACTACACAAAATAGTACCGAGTATTTTTTAACTATAAAAATATATAGTTTTTAACTTCAATTTGATTGACGTGATAATAAAACAGCACCTGTAATTATCTGATAATTGTATCATATTAGTGTAGAAATAGGTGTAGCCCTAGCTAAAGTACAAATGTGCAAAAGTAAATGCTATAGCTGAAAAACTACGTGTTTATGTATTATCAATCACATTATCAATCACAAATGTATCAAAATGTCTATGCATTAAATTATGCTGTAAGTGAAACTGGTGTCGCTGTGGTCTTGCTTTCCTTTCACATTAACTCTGATTTTTTTTTCCTGCTGTTTATGTTTTTTTCTTTTTGCAGGTTTTGGACAATAACGTCATGGTAAAAATAGAGAGGAAGTTCCTGCTGGAAATCCAGAGTGAACATGGTGGTCTGCTGGAGGCTGTGACTGATCTGGAGGCCCGTCTGAAGCTCATTAGTGAGTGGGCAAGAGTCGTGCATTAAGAGTGTGGGACTAAAAGTTTATTTGCCAACATTACTGTATGAGAAATGTTACCAAATGGGGTTCAGTAGTGAAGTTAAATGTATAGAAAATGTAATAGTGATATACACAACATAACTGTAGACATAATTACAATAACACTGTGGAACGTTTTCTGTGCATCACTCAAATTTTCCATTGTCTTGCACATCTTTAGATGACCAAGGAAAGTTGCAGCAGCTGGCAACATTAGCTGTTGACTCCCCACTCTGGGTGCAAATCGGCCAAAAAGATGAGTTAGCAGAGGCAGAGCTAAAATACATTGGGCCTCTGAACAGAGGAAGTGGAGTGTACTTTGGAGTGCAACTCAAGGTAAACTTGTACAATGTCTTATTAGGATATGTGACATGTGCATGTGATGTGCTGTTTGATCTAGATTAATTTGAGTTACATTAAATAGCAAAAATAATTAATAAAGCAGTAATGTTGTAGTTTCAAGGAAACTGTGGTTAATTTCTGGAAGCTAATTTATTCAACAACTCTTACCTCATTTGAGCTGATGAAACTAACTGTCTCGTTTGTGGTTTTTCCCTTTTAGATAACTATATTTTATATACTGTATATATATATATATATCAAAATGGCGATTTTTCACTTTTTCAGTAGTGTTTTTGGCTTTGTGCATGTACAGTATTAATTTAGCAAGTTCTTCAACACAATAGACATGGGAAGTTGTTTTATCAGACATGTTTCATAACACTTTGTAATCTGATTATCTCTATGTTTTTGTTTTTTTTTTTTGCTGAAGGGCTCAGCAGCAGGTAAAGGAGTCAGCAACGGTTCCTACAAAGGCCACCAACTGTTTGTCTGCCCCGAAGGCTGCGCCCTGTTCCTGCCCATCAGTGACATCCGACTACGCCACTGGCCAAGTAAAAGCGACCCCAACATCCAGGAAAAAGTTCGTGACCGGGAGCAGCGCCGCAGCAATGGGCATCAGAGCAGCAGCAACAGCAGTAACAACAGCCGGACGAGCCATCAGCTGCAGCCACCGCAACAGCAGCAAGGCCGTCACCAACTTCGGTCCAGCAGCCCTCGTCCACTGAGTCCTAGCATCATTCCTAGAACGACAGACCCGGCTTTGACATTCACCATAGGCCAGCGTGTTACCTTCCAGCCCGAGGAAACTGTCTATGCTGGGGAGGTGCGCTTCTGTGACCTCCTGCCTGGTCGCCCCTCTGCAGGGACCTACGTCGGCATACTGCTGGTCAGTAGTTTATTTTCTATAGGCTTAAAACATGGTAAGGTAATAAGGTGTTAAAAATTGCTTAAATTCCGAGTTCATTGACCTTATATTATAATTCAAACAAAATTTGATAGAACTTGCTTAAAACTTGCTAAAGACAGTTTTTCAAAGTGGCCTTAGTTGTAATTTATCCGGCTTTTACATAAATGAAGTAAAATCAATAAGATGAGATGTTTTTCTGTGTGTGACCAGGATGGACACGATCAGAAATTAGCAGATCAAACAGTTAGGGTGGAGCAATTTGAAGATAAAATTAGAGACGGGAGGTTGAAAAGGGTTTGGGCATGAGCTGAGGAAAGAGAGTGCCGATGGTGTACGAAGGGTATTGGAGATGTAGCTGCCAGGCAAGAAGAGAAGAGGAAGACTCTAGAGGAGATTTGTGGGTGTTGTGAAAGTGAACATGGGAATTGTTGGTGTCAAAGCAGAGATGGGATAGGGTCAGATCAGAGCATGTCCTCCAGGTGAATACTTTAATTACTCTCCGCGAATTGAAATCTTTGAGATTCATTGCAGGTTAGTTGTGTTGGAGAATAAAACGGTACACACAAACCATCAGTCCCAGAGTACGTCAGGTCAGGACGGGTTGTAGTATATCTCTCTTTACCCTCACTTAAACTCAAATGTTGAGCTACTCTGTCAAAACTGCTACAAATACTCTCCTCCTGATTATGTACAAATAGGGGGTTAAATATGAAAGTAGGTCATGACCTGCTTGTTTAGCTTTGCTTTCTGTTTCTCCGCACAAATATATAATGTTGAGATTATAACCTGTGTTTGCCTGTGTCTGTGTTGTCATTTGTATCTGTGTCAGCCTTTGTGGTGTATCTTTTGTCTTCTTACAGGACACTCCTTCTGGTAACTGGGACGGGCATTACAGAGGAGAGAAGCTCTGCGACATTCCTTCACCTCTCTATGGACTCCTGCTGCCTCTTAATGTGGTTTATGCAGGTACAGCAATTATCAGAAGTGATGGTTAGCTCTGTTAGCAAATTCTTGTAGAAAAGTGGTCATAGGAGGTACAGGAAGTGGGTACCAAGAACTTTGTGTGTTGTCCAAGACCAGAAAATTAAGTATAGCAACATGATTGGTTGCTACACACCTGAGATTGAACTTTTTACTTACTTAACTTTTTGTTTCTCACCACAGCCAGAGAGCCAGAAGACAGTTTATCCATTGACACTTTTACTGCTGACAGTCCAGGAACCAGAGATGGAAATTGTTTTCATGATCAGTATCACTTATCAATTAAATTCCTTATCGATTCTCATGGTATGAGGAAATAAGATATAGTTCAAATAGGTCTGTTTACATCAACTCATTTGTGCACTTTGGCATTTGATTTGGACAAAATTAAAACTGCAAAAGGGAAATATTTTCTCTGCAGAAAATAACATCTGAGCATAAAATACACCTGCAGTTATCAACTTTCACAACTTTATTTCTTCTTTTCTTTTTTGTAAAATTCAGCCATTCAGAGTGTGTTAATGTCATGTTGTAAACAGTCCAAACCAAATTAGGTAGCATGTGTGTGATAACTTCACCTTGGCTGTTTTTCCACCTCAACTGGTCATACAGTATGTTGTATGTATTTGAGGAAGCAAACCATTCAGTATATAGAGATCAGCAATTGGCAATTTCTTTATGGAAAACCTATCTTATCAACTGAGCTTATCGAACCTCTGCAAAGTTCTGAAAGTCAGCCACTGGCCTCTGCTCTGCAATGAGAGAGGGCTGACTGACAGACCTGCCTACCTGTGGCTTGAGATCAAGTAACTGACAGGAATTTATTGAATATAGTTCGTCGAGTGTTAAATACAAGTATAGGATCTTTAAGTATATTGTGACAGTGCACTAAAAAAAAGATGCCTCAGTGCTTTTTAATAACTTTATATCGCTTATTACACATGGAAACAACTCACTCTGATCTATCATGTTTTATATCCAACCTAAAGACATGGCTGCCAGCGGAGGCATGAGGAAAACAAATTCAGAAGTATCCTGAGTAACTTCCATGTTTTATGTGGGATTTTTTTCCAGAGTCTAAACCCAGGCCTCAAAGTCCTCTACCACAGTCTCACAAACCTCTGCCAAAACCAGCGCCACCACCTGTCAACCGGTCTACTGTAACATCACCGCCACCATCCTACAACTCCAAGGTCGCCTTGATCCCACCCGGAAAGCAAGCGGTGAAACCTCCTCCACTCCCACCTCCAAAACCCACTCATAAACCTCTGTCACCGCGTCCTCCACCTCTTCCTCCTCCGAAGCCCCGCACTCCGTCGTCAACCAGCATTACCGACCAATCGCCACACGCTAACGGCATCCATAGTTTTGCCTCCTCCCTTTTGTTGTCCCCAGATGGACACAAGGCTCCAACAGACATCGGCGAGGCGTGTTTAGAGAACGAGTTTGAGGTGGGCTCGCTAGTGGAAGTGAATGACCCACCCATTTTTGGGGTCATCTGCTGGATTGGACACATCAGTGGTATTTCTGAGCATGTGGCAGGAATTGAACTAGTGAGCACACTCAGTGGTCTTTTTTTAAAAATATTTATAAATTCAATTCCAACCTGCAACATCAGGAAACTTTATTTTCTGTCCATCTGTGTCGACTGTGTTTGTGTATCAGGATCACGAACTGTCTGCAGGAACAGATGGCAGTTACCTGGGCGAACGCTACTTTCGTTGTCCTCCTAACAAGGGGTTGTTTGTCAAACTCCGAAATTGCAGAAGGGACTCAAGGTTCCCTGCCCCAGAAACACCTCTCAATCAAGTGGAGCGGTGCAACTCTATAGGTGGGTGGTCAAACATTTACAGTATTTCCACCACAAATCAGAACAAAACAACAGAAGCATATAAAAATGAACTATTACATGTATTCATGGACCATTGCAACTAGCTTTTAGATAACATTTTGCAAATTGTTATGATGGGTTAATACTATTTTACGGCATACTTATTAGGATTCTTTTTACTTTTGTTGACTTTTACTATTTATAATTTTATTTAATCAAAATAATTAATATTTAAAAATGCCTTAAACTACATTTTGGGGGAACTGTGAATCATTTTCCAACACATTCTGAAATAATTATGTTGAACATTTTTGTTTGGACATTTTTGTTTAATTATGTGTTGACTTTGAACTTACCACAGCTACAAACAATATATTTTTTTGTTTTTACCTTCAAATTAACATGTCTAATTTTAAATCAGACTGGTGGTGCAAAAACATACATGGTAGAAGTCATGAAAGGTACTTCAGTAATGTATGAGGGAAATCTCCTTTTTAAAAGAGATGAATCATTTACTTTACAAAGGTTGAAACAGGTTGAAAAAAAACTTCCTCTCTATCCTCTCTTTGTGTAATGCTGCATTCACACCAAAAGTGATAGACGCAAAACAAATTCTTGTAATGTCTACATTGCGTTGCTTGTTCATTTTTTGATTATAGCCTCTTTCGCTTGTCGCTGCCCCTAGATGCTCAGTGGGGAAAAATGACATGCAGGATAGTTATTTATCCCCTCATTTTTCAACCTTTCAGTGGTACCTCACAGTAGTAAAACAAGCCACAGAATGATTCACAATTTACCAGAGCATTCAACTTTCTTTCTTGCATAGCAGAGGTGTTGGTGCCCACACACGTCGATGATAAGCCGGCATGTACGTAGTGTACCAGAAGCCACCATGTCTGGGTGGCAACAAGGCGCTCTGACTGGATAACAGCCGGTCTGAGTGGTACCTCAGGCTGACAGTGGTGAAACAAGCCACACAAAGTCTCACAATTTACCAGAGGGTCCCGTCTACTAGCTGACTTTAGTCTTTTTTTAATTCTGGTTCTGATAAAACAAAGCAGTGGTGTCATTGTCCACACACAGCGATGATAAGTGTGTCCACCATTCTCTACAACTTCTGCTTACTACAGGGAGGTGATGTCAGGGTAAACTCGTTGCTGATTGGGTGTCGTGACGTGATGCCTCCTAAAAAGTTTTTCCGTCTTTTTTCATCACCTCAGACACTCTTTTGCTTTATAGCGTCACATCCCAAGCTCCAATCACACCACCGCCGCCTGAATTGCATGCTGTTGCGGCATTGATTGTGTATGTGGAGCTGCTCAGTCCACGTCCACTTTTGGCATCAACTCTCGATTACTTAAACAAGAGTATTCTTTAGATGAGGGATGTAACTAGGGATTGAGGTGTTCACCGATTCTCCTATGTCTCTCAGCTTTTGCAGAATGGGGCAGTGAGCGTGTGGAAGAGCACACACCTCCTGTGGAAGGTGAGGAGGCCAGACAGCTGTATGACGGCTGTAAGAGAGGCATTCAGGGTCATCTGAACTCCTGCTACCTGGACGCCACGCTGTTTAGGTATAAAGTGTTTTATTATCATGGAGACACTGAGCAGTAAGAATAGGATTTATTTAATAAAATAAATGTGTTGGTTAGGTTTGTTTTGAATGTGATCTCTCTGTCTTCGCCTCCAGTCTTTTCTCCTGCTGCAGCTCAGCAGACTGGGTTCTCTTTTGGCCGTCAGACTTGAAAACCGACTCAGACTCCAGTCAGGCTCAAGACCTGCTGCGCTGTGAGATTGTCAACCCGCTCCGAAGGTCTGTAACGTCCTGCGCTCTCGTGTTTTGTAAATTATCACCAACATCATCATGATCATCACACAAATCAGTCCAAATAAACCAGATCTTTAAACACTTTGTGTTAATTGTTGTGTTTCTCAGGTACGGTTATGTGTGTGCTAGTAAGACCATGGCTCTGAGACACCTGCTGGAGGCCCCTAACAGTGACACCGGCTTCACCAACCAGGAGAAAGGTCTGTTTCTGCCTAAGTAATTGGGCCTTTGTCAGCAGGCATTTGCCTGCCTGTGTTTGTGTGTGTGTCTCATCACAGTCACACCGAGGAATGTAGACACCCTACTTTTGTTCTCTCCCCTCAGATCCGGAGGAATTCCTCAACAGGCTTTTCCAGCTCCTCCAAGTTGAGCCGCTCCTCAAGATCAGGTAAAGTTTGAGGGCGTTTCTTTTCCATGTTTGATGCAACTTTTCTGCAAGTTCTCTTGCACTGTACCAACTGTACAAATAAAGATCAGTCATTTGGTTTATTACCACCAGATGGCTCTAAAATCATAAGCATGACACAGCAGGTTCTGCCTTTGACCTTTTACCACACACAGAGATTGATATCATTTGATATAATGACTTCAATCCTGTGATTCCTAAGTTTTTCACATTTGGGACTAATCCTCTCATTGGCCTTTTTTTAGACTATGTTATTCCTACAAAACTCAGAGATACAGAAAATAAAATGACGTTACTGTAATTTCCTTACCATGGCACAAAAAAAGTAAAATATTAAAACTGATTTGCCTTTCTGCAACCCTCCACCCCCTCTGGGGACCGCTGCTGTAGACTGTGACAATCTGTTCAGCCGGACTACAAATGTTTCCAAAAAAATGTCATAGTCTCATCTAACCCCTCCTCCTCAGATCCATGTCCCAGCAACCTCAGGAGTGTCACCTCTACCAGCTCTTCCCACCTACTGTGCCCCACTCTCCCAGCTCACACTTAGCCAACTCACCAGTGCACTCCCCCATCCCTCTCTTGTCACCCTCGTCCACCCGGATGAGAGTTGCTAGTGTCCAGACACTTCTGGAGTCGTCCTTCCTCCATGCCGGCCTCAAGTTTGTTGAGGTAACTACTCTGAATATCAGAGGAAAACATTCGGTAACTCAGTAGTCACCTATGATTTTATTTTGATAATATTTTAATTCTCTAGGCTCCCTCCTGTCTCCTGCTGCTCATGCCCAGGTTTGGCAAAGACTTTAAAATGTTTGATGCCATCTTGCCAACCCTCAGCCTGGACATCACTGACCTCCTTGATGACAGTAAGAGGAGTGTTTCTTTTTCCTTTATACGGGAGATTTAAATGCAGTGAAAATAATCAGTTGCTATTGCTAAATTGTGTTATTTTGTGCAGTTGTCTATGTTGGTTAGGTTGTTTAAATGGGTTGGCCATCTTTGTTTTCAGCTCTGAGGCAGTGCAGCATCTGCCAGGCCACGGCTGAATTTGAGTGTCTGCAGTGTTACGATGATGTGGACATCACACCAGGTCGTCCAAAACAGTTCTGCAGCACCTGCAATACACAGGTAACCACCACTAACCCACTCGTACTGTATATGCAGCCTGTAGTAAGAGGTGGAGAGAGCTGCTGTGTTTTTGTCGTGGCCAGCAGTCTTCTCTACCAACCGATTTTAAACAAATGAAGCAGGAGTGAGTTGTTCTCTTGAGGATCACATACTTTAATCAATCAGGGTTTCAATCTAATATTAGGCCATAAGGTCACCTGTGAGGATGAATAGTTGACTGAGCAAAAAAGGTTGACAATTTTCCTAGGGATGATTGAGGAGGAAGATGGTCTCTTTTGTCCAGTAAGTGGTACTGCAACTGTCTTCTATCATTTTAACAACTTTTTTAGGTCCACAGTCACAGGAAAAGGATGTCCCACAGCCCAGTAAAAGTGGGTATTCCTGATGGTCCATGGTCCGGGTCTCTGCACTGCACCCGCCGAACAATGTCTCTCTTTGCTGTGACATGCATAGAGACAAGTCACTACGTGAGTTTCATCAAGCACGGGCCTCTCAACACAGACTGGCTGTTTTTTGACAGCATGGCAGATAGAGAAGGTAAGAGGGCTAAATGGAAATGAAGGAAGCATAATGCAGAAACAGAAATCTTGAGATCTGTTTTTGGGTTCCTTACCCAGGTGGTCAGAACGGTTTCAACATCCCACGGGTGATGTCGTGTCCTGAAGTGGGTCGTTACCTCAGTTTGTCAGAGGAGGAGCTGAGCCGTGTGGATGCTGCATCAATACGTGAGACAACGCGACGTCTGCTGTGTGACTCGTACATGTGTCTGTACCACAGCCCTGAGCTCAGCCTGTACAAGTGATGTGACCACAGACACAGAAGTGATTTAGATTCACAGATGCTGATTTTTTCAGGATTTGTTTTTTTAAAAGTAAAAGTGAAGGATGTTCTGTTTACAATCAAAGGTTCGTTTGTTCCTTTTGACTAAACTAAAGATCATTATAATGGCAAAATCCAAGAGTTGGATAAGATTAAAAAAATACTATTTTAACACATTTTCAGTCTGTCACAAATCCCTATAATTTAAATGTGGTGGATCATTAGCCAATATAAGCTGCTCATGGTTATTCTAAATCCTGTTCATGAAGACGTGACGGCAGTCGAGAAGAACTGATACGTGTTTAATTGTGCCATATATGTATATATGTAATATAAATGTGACTGAGTCACAGAGCTAAATGTCCAAATCTTTGATTGCCGTAAGTATATTATCTCTGGACTGTGAAATATTCCATGTAATATTTAATCACATCGATGGTTAAAGCTATGGAATGACATTTTATTGTCTCCATAATATGTTGTAGAGCCAAACGTATAAATGATTATTTATTTCCAAATTGTCAGGTCCCAGTAACTGATATTTCATTACATTATGCAAGTAAATACAAGTTTACCTTACATTTTTTGAACAATTGTACACTGTACTAAACTGACAACTAAAACACAAACCAACACTATAACTGCTTTGTTTTTTTGTTTTTGTTTTCTTTAACTATAGTGCCTTAAACTGTTTCTATAGATTGAACACTATTGTTTTAACCATTGTGCTTGTACTGCTGACAGCTTGTTTGTGTGAGCAGCTACAGAAAACAGGTAACTGTTCCAAGCAATAAATGTTTAATATGGTTTGTTTATGTCCCTCTAATTCTTTTATTTTTTGGTTAAATTCAGAAAAAAATGTCATTGAATAGCTGTACTAGAACATTCGGACTCTCGGTCATAATAAATATTTGGTTTAAGATTGAAATTTCCCTCCGCACCACTAGTCTATCATTTTAACAACTTTTTTAGGTCCACAGTCACAGGAAAAGGATGTCCCACAGCCCAGTAAAAGTGGGTATTCCTGATGGTCCATGGTCCGGGTCTCTGCACTGCACCCGCCGAACAATGTCTCTCTTTGCTGTGACATGCATAGAGACAAGTCACTACGTGAGTTTCATCAAGCACGGGCCTCTCAACACAGACTGGCTGTTTTTTGACAGCATGGCAGATAGAGAAGGTAAGAGGGCTAAATGGAAATGAAGGAAGCATAATGCAGAAACAGAAATCTTGAGATCTGTTTTTGGGTTCCTTACCCAGGTGGTCAGAACGGTTTCAACATCCCACGGGTGATGTCGTGTCCTGAAGTGGGTCGTTACCTCAGTTTGTCAGAGGAGGAGCTGAGCCGTGTGGATGCTGCATCAATACGTGAGACAACGCGACGTCTGCTGTGTGACTCGTACATGTGTCTGTACCACAGCCCTGAGCTCAGCCTGTACAAGTGATGTGACCACAGACACAGAAGTGATTTAGATTCACAGATGCTGATTTTTTCAGGATTTGTTTTTTTAAAAGTAAAAGTGAAGGATGTTCTGTTTACAATCAAAGGTTCGTTTGTTCCTTTTGACTAAACTAAAGATCATTATAATGGCAAAATCCAAGAGTTGGATAAGATTAAAAAAATACTATTTTAACACATTTTCAGTCTGTCACAAATCCCTATAATTTAAATGTGGTGGATCATTAGCCAATATAAGCTGCTCATGGTTATTCTAAATCCTGTTCATGAAGACGTGACGGCAGTCGAGAAGAACTGATACGTGTTTAATTGTGCCATATATGTATATATGTAATATAAATGTGACTGAGTCACAGAGCTAAATGTCCAAATCTTTGATTGCCGTAAGTATATTATCTCTGGACTGTGAAATATTCCATGTAATATTTAATCACATCGATGGTTAAAGCTATGGAATGACATTTTATTGTCTCCATAATATGTTGTAGAGCCAAACGTATAAATGATTATTTATTTCCAAATTGTCAGGTCCCAGTAACTGATATTTCATTACATTATGCAAGTAAATACAAGTTTACCTTACATTTTTTGAACAATTGTACACTGTACTAAACTGACAACTAAAACACAAACCAACACTATAACTGCTTTGTTTTTTTGTTTTTGTTTTCTTTAACTATAGTGCCTTAAACTGTTTCTATAGATTGAACACTATTGTTTTAACCATTGTGCTTGTACTGCTGACAGCTTGTTTGTGTGAGCAGCTACAGAAAACAGGTAACTGTTCCAAGCAATAAATGTTTAATATGGTTTGTTTATGTCCCTCTAATTCTTTTATTTTTTGGTTAAATTCAGAAAAAAATGTCATTGAATAGCTGTACTAGAACATTCGGACTCTCGGTCATAATAAATATTTGGTTTAAGATTGAAATTTCCCTCCGCACCACTAGAGGCAGAGCGTGGCGTCCGACAGTCAGTCAGCCTCGTTGCGTCATCACTGCGGGCCGTAGAAGGAAGCTGGCTGCTTGAGTGAGTGACGCAGAGGGTCGTCGACCTGTCTTTTCTTTAACACAGCCAACTGTTTCGTCTTTTAAATCGTAATAGGTATATTAACTGTCGGACTGTGACATTGTTGATATTTCTCTGGGGTAAACGAAAGAAACCGCCGCATTTTCATGGCATTTTGTCTGATGTCACGACGACCGTTTTCAAAACCGACGTCCTTTTTTGCGTCGTTTAATTTGTCGTTTAAACGTCGTGTAAAGCGGTCACTGCAGCGAGTGACCAACATCATTTCTGTGCAGGTCTTTAGTCCGATTACTGGGATTATTACTAAAAAGGAACATTCCGAATTAGATAACATTTCTTTTAATTTTCTGCTTTAAGGTCACCAAACGTGTCCTAAACTAGATTTCGTTCATAGTCGTAATTTGATTGACTTGATTTAACTGATACGTTATTTATTTTACTTCCTTTAAATCACCTTCTAAAGAAGTAGGCCTGCCTCTGTCATCTGTTGACATGTGTATGTCTTCCCAATGCAAATGTAGAGCCGTTTCCCTAAATACGTTGTATGCATTTCTATCTTAGACGGGAATTATCTGATTAATTGTTAGCTTAAATAAAATATATTGAGATGTTATATAAATTAAACTATTTACCGTAAGATAGGTTGTTTTGATTAAGACATTTAATTTATGTCATACATTGAGATTTAGATTAAACCCCACTAGTAATGTTATTCTGTATACATGGTTTCTATGTGAGTTTTGATTATAAGGGTATCTTAACCTTATAATCTTATCTTATTCTATGTGGCTCAGGGGTCATCAGTCACACTGACATTATAGTGGTTACTGAAGATTAGTTTGCAGTCAATTACCTTTTTGATTTGGTCAGTATTACAATTATAACGTATATTAGACGGTGAAATACAATATGTCTTTGTCATATTGTTTTCTTTTCTTTTTAACCCAAGGCCACACTCAAAACTCATCCTCAATTCCACTGTTGTATTTGAACCTGTTCTTATAGTTTTATTGTTTTTATTGTTGTATTGTTATCTTTGTATTCATTGTAAGGTGTCCTCGGGTGACAATAAGGTGCCTATGAAATAAAATGTATTATTATTAACCATTGTTATTCTTTGCAGGTTACTTTTTGTCTCTGAAGTCCATCAGTGAAGTCAGTGGTCATGGCGTCTCCAGGGGGGCAAGGAGGTGGTGGAGCTTTGTCCACAAGAGGAGGAGCTGGCGCCCGGAGGCTGAAGTGGGCACTGGAGCTGAGCGTAGGAAACACAAGGTGAACAGAGTGCTGTCATTAATCTTATGGTTATTGATAATTAATAAATTCAAACTCAGCTTATCTATGTCTACATGTAACATAAAAGATAAAGGTTTTCTTACTTTAGTACTGTTCGCACTTTAATAACTTGTGTGACTGTACCAACACTAGATGAAAGTGTTGTACCTGCTCTTTCTTTCTCTCCCTCTCTTTATATCTCCCCTCTGCTTTCTATCCATTTTCCCTTTTTTCTTTTTGTTGTCACAGGTAGGAGTTTTTCCTCCACAGTGTTGCCAAATTGTGTGCTCAGTGTCTGTTCTATTATGTATTGTTAGCATAAATTGTAAGCTGCTGTTTTGTGACTTTGGGCTGGACGAATCAAACTTGACCTTCAATGATAATGATCGTGTAATCCTCGTTCATTTATCTTGGCCTATAAATGAATGGTCTGAGTCAGTGAAGTGGCAAACCAGAGCTGGAGACTTTTTTTAGACTTTAACAAAACATTGTTTATTCTTGGATAAAAACACAGCCATTTTCTCAGGCTGCTACTTAGCACCTGTACTGCACCACAATATAAAAACAGGAGTCATCCCTTTATCGCTTGCTTTGCAGGAGTCGTAGTGAGCGTCAGGGCGGCCAAGGCGATGTTGTTTACCCCATCGGCTACTCTGAGAAACCAGTCCCAGACACCAGCATTCAAGAAACGGACAAGAACCTGGTGGAGAAGGTGAGGAAAGACAGAGTTTCATTTTAAGTCCTAATATGACATTCTTTAGAGATTTAGTTGAATACCCACCACCAACACGATGGTCTGTTTTAAACAGCGTTGCTGGGACGTAGCCCTCGGTCCTTTGAAGCAGATCCCCATGAACTTGTTCATCATGTACATGTCTGGAAACACCATCTCCATCTTTCCCATCATGATGGTCTGTATGATGGCCTGGAGGCCCATCCAGGCACTCATGTCCATGTCCGCCAGTGAGTGATTTTCTTTTACAGTCAACTTAATGGTATAATGGTCAGTGTTTCTGAAGTATTTTTGAATACTGCAATGGAGCCTTGGTACCACATTAACTCAATATAGTATGAAGAATAATGGCATGAAAAAATGGTACGACAACCTTGGCTTATACATGTTACCACCACAACAAATAGACAGAGTTTCTTGACATGAAATTTTTTGTTTAATGTTCTTGAGTAGAATTTCCTCATGTTTCTTATTTGTCGATGTTCATCTTGTATCCAAGCCTTTAAGCTGTTGGAGAGCTCCAGTCAGCAGTGGCTCCAGGGTCTTGTCTATTTGGTTGGAAACCTGCTGGGCTCAGCGTTAGCAATATACAAGTGTCAATCGATGGGACTACTGCCCACACACTCGTCTGATTGGCTGGCATTCATAGAACCACCTCAGGTAAAAGGAACTCTGCTGAACACCCTCAGTAAAGAAACACACTTAACTTGACTGACTTTTTATGAGCAGTGGCCACTGCTTAGCCAATGGTTAACTGTCATTCGAAACTGAAACTGAAACCTCTAAACTGAATGTTCTGGGTTTCATGAAACCTTCAATCTGGTTTGTTTTCACTTTTACACACAGGGGGACAGAACAGGCTTGTGTTTATAGGGGAGTTTACTAGGTAAACTAGTTTATTCCCAAAGTTTACTTCAGTTGTGATGCATGCATATATACACACACACAAAATCAAAATCAAACTGTACTATAAAAGACATGCAGAGCCAAAAATATATTGATATATACATATGTAGTAAAGAACAGGTATGTAAAGTTAACTGTTTATGTTTTTCTGTCTTTTCTACAGAGGATGGAGATCATGGGAGGAGGGATGGTTTTGTGAAGAGGATTTTTTTTTGGTCATCAAAAATATAGTTAGCTTACTTTTTAAAAATGTGGATCTATGAAGTACGGGGATAGAGTCTGTGATTCAACCAGAAAGTCCAGCCTTCACCAAATCACGTTGCGATCATTTTTTTTACATTCTAAGCTCCAGGCGACGCAAGAACTGCTGGTCTACCGCTGGCTGATTTGTTAGGTTTGTGTTAATGAGTTAAAATTAAATAAAGATGTTTACACGTTTAGGCACAAAAATAAATTTTGACTAAGCCTTTCTTGAAGCACAGTGAAGCTAAGTTGTTTGTGTCCAACTCTGTCTCAGAGCATGATTCAACTTCACTTAAAGGATTTCAATATTTCCAGAGGTTTGTTATATACTTTATCTGTTCATTTAAAACATCCTTGTTCTCATAGCTGCTTTTTTTAAAACAAACTTTACAATGAAATGAAAATTATTAGCATTTAAGCCACAACTTCATGGCTTTATGTCTGCTGTGATTTCATTAATACATTTCTAAGGTTCTCTAACACATCAGCAGATTCTGGAGCAATTTTCATAATTAACAGAACTTTGCAACTAAAACTGTAAAAGAAAAAGATTAGAGCCCAGACATTTATCTTCTTTACCTCTCATCTAATTAATAGTTAGTTAATAGTAAAAGGCTTCATTTTCACAAGGATTTTTATCATGTCGTTTGGTTTCATGTACTTATGGTTTAATTTATACTGATGTGCTCTATGAAATGTTCTATTAAATAAAACCTTATTAGATCATTTGAAATGATGTTGATAATTGTTTTTTAAACGTCTGATTTCTATTGACAAACACTGGTTGCTCCCATGCATAACAATTGCAAACAAAACTGTTCTATGTAAATCAAAATTATTTAAAAGAAAATATGTGAGTGGTGAGCCTGAGCTAAATGAATCTCTTATAGGACATCTGCTGCTGGTTAAGTTGTTTTAACGTAACATTTTAACAGCACAGTTAGGATCAGCTGTGTCTCCTGAACCAAACCTTGCTATTTTGATGAGTCAGACTGCTTCAGTTTATGGGTGTGTGTGTTGGGGAAAGGTGGGGGGTAAAGGGGAACTTAGACTGAAACTGAACTCTCTTCTTTATAACTATTTATTCCAGTGGTTACAGCTGGGATTTAGGGAACACTTTAGGACTTGTTGTTTGAAATCTTCATAATATTTTGTGCCTCACACTACAATGATATTTTTTTAAATTGTTGAAATACATATTTATTTGAATATCATGTTACCAAAGAAAAGAATGTTTGGGCAAAAAATACATTAAATTACATTTAAAATCTTTTTTATCTATAAAAGTGTAAAAGAGACTGAATGTCCTTCAGTGTGCTAAATATTCAACCTGTGGGTGTGTGGGGTGTTGTGTCAAATGTGATATCTGCAGCAACACCCTGCTCCCAGAACAATAGCGTCTGAAAACTGTAGGTCAGAGGCCAGTAAGATTACACAGCTTTTGGTTTGTCATGGATCAACTGTATAAAAAGTGTTGAAGAATTTTTTTTTTCTTATCTAATAAATGTGTTAGTAAGGGTTTTTTTCGTTTTTGATTTATTAAAGCTAACGCCTGAGAAACAAACAGACAATATACAATGCAGACAATATAATTATTTATTTCCCGCCATATGTCCCTAGAGGGGCTCCGTAATACTGATGCTACTGTCAACTCAACACATATGTTTAATATGTTTAAACATGACGCTGCAGTTAGACCAAGATTTAAAAAGGAAAATAGAAAACAATATGTAAGGATAGAAAGACAAGGAAGGAAAGACGGAAAGTCCAAAGGTGATACTAACGCAGTATTTCAATAGGAAGCATCTCAATGACATACGTTTTATTCTTATTTATGGTTTCTGGTACAACTAGTCTTCGATGGACCACTTCATCTCCTCCGGCATAGACCGGTTTGACCCGCCAGACTCGGCCCACAGTCGCGCTTGTTGGGCAGGGTATGGAGGCGTGAAAGGGGCGGGACAGGTGAGCAGGAGGAGGCTACAAAGAGAGGATGGGCGTTCACACTCCTCAGAGTGTGTTTTGCCATGTGAAGGACGGGAGGGTGACTTTTAGTTCATCTTTATTTTTTTCTTTTTACCTTTTTTCTTTTAATGCAACATCATTTGAAAATACATTGCGTTTAAGCCGAGCCGTTTAACCCGTTGTTAATGCAGCGGCAGTATCCGTAAGTAAAAGAGTAGGGCCTTTTTAAACACATTTTTGTGTTTGACTTGGAGTTGGTTGTTTGTTTTTGTTTTTGTATTGTTTGTTCTTTTACTTAAAAAAATCCGAGAAAGTCGTCGTCATGGAGGAGAACGGCGGTCAGTCACCCCGGCAGGAATATCCACATCCGTTTGTCCACCAAGTGAAGCTGAACAGAGTGGAGAGAATCAGGGTAACCGTCCGACTTCAATTTAAACTTCGCCTAAAACCAAATCTGTTTCACTGACACGACTGTAACCGTTGATCAGGAAGTTTTTAAAAAAATTGGATAAAATATTGAGTTGTTTTTTACTGTTTTGGTAAATTTCCAAATCATTACCATGTCAATTGGCATTTAAAGCTAGTTAGCATCTCACTGCCATGATGAACTGTGTTGTATGGCACCATTAAAATTATTATCACGATCTCTGTGTAACTCAAGTTTCTAATATCGACTCCAACAACAGGACATTTATAAACGGTTATGTTGTAACATGAATTGTTTGAGTACATAATGAGGCTTAAACTAGGAGTAACTTACTGTTGGTTAAATCTAGACAGTCATTGAAACGTGTGATATTTGATCTTGTATTAGGGTTACTGACTGGAATCAATTATCTCCAATCACAGGTAATAACTGGTCGAAAAGTATAGTTTTATATATTAGAAATATCACCTCATAAAAGTAGTTCAAATGTAATTACAACATTGTTTGCCAACATTGTGTGGTTGTAAATCCATCTCCTCACTCTTCTCGTAGATTTGGTTCAAATAAACAAATGGAAAGGATGTTTTCTTTCGACAACCCTGACAAAGCCAGAAATCGGAGATGGTGCTGCAACATTTGACACTTGAGTGACCTGCTATCTTGAATGGCTTCAATTAGCCTCTAAAATCGGCTATCTGAAACCAATTAGGCAGTAATTTGACTTGGGAGGAGTTGGTTTCTCCTAAATGCTGACTTCTTAAAATCTCAGAATTTCAAGCATTTGATTGAGCAATTCATCAATCAGTTTAGCTGAAAAGTAAGCCTCTCATGAGCCAATATTCTATTTAACTAAATATAAGTCTATCCTTATCCTTAAGATTATGAATGATGAAAATCATTTTAGTATTTGACATGATTTAGACACAGGAAAAAAGTTTTCCTAATGTAACTTCATGCAGGTATTTTGAAAAGCAATACGATTTGACTTTATAGTGACTGTATTAGTGAAGAG